ATATATATATATATATATATATATATATATATATATTAGGACTATCCATTGATTCAACATTTTACAAACAAAATTTATAAATTCAATATCAATATTTATGTACACTACCTGTCAAAGGTTTTTGAATAGTAAGTTTTTTAAAGAAGTCTCTTCTGCTCACCAAGCCTACATTTATTTGATCCAAAGTACAGCAAAACAGTAACATTTTGAAATATTCTTACTATTTCAAATAACTGTTTTCTATTTGAATATATTTTAAAATGTAATTTATTCCCTTGATTTCAAAGCATCATTACTCCATGTTACTGTTTTTGCTGTACTTTGAATCAAATAAATGCAGGCTTGGTGAGCAGAAGAGACTTCTTTAAAAACATTACAATCTTACTGTTTAAAAACTTTTGACTGGTAGTGTAGCCTCACTATTTTTAGTTTCTTGAAAATTGAAAAGAGGCAAGTTTAGAAAAACATACCTTGAAATTAAAACATGTTTAATTGCATTAATTTTCAATGCAAAACAAACAAACAAACAAAAATCATTAAAAAAACATTTTATTTATAAAAAAAATTGAAAAATGTTATTTGAGCTGGACTTGTTTTTAGATTCAGTTGTATATGTATTTATACAATTTATTAAAATGCTATAGAGTATTACTGGGAGACCATTTTGGGTACTCACATCGAAGGACATCTCTGCAAATCTGCCGAATATGTTGCTCAGACAGCTCTCTGCCCTGTGAAAATGCATGTCTTTGTTGGAACAAGAGTGTCTATTTAATTGTCTATGCAACATTTTATCCTTCATTGACTAGCTTATCTTATTGCAGAAGAAGGCTAAACAATATATTTATTTGGAAACACGATACTTACAGGTCGTCCTTCCGGTCCAGTTGTTCCCGGGGGGCCTATTTCTCCACTCAGTCCTCTGGGCCCCGAGGGTCCTGTCTGTCCTGTCTGTCCAGGGAGCCCCTGATGGCCGATCTGACCCCTCTGACCGGGCTCTCCTGATGTCCCTTTCTAACACGCACACAAATACAACTCAACACACTCACAGTACAGCTAATGGGAAATGTGGATTCAGATCAGAGATTCGCCCACCTCTCCTTTCTGGCCAGCTGGCCCGGGTAAACCCTGTTTATGAAGAGAGAAGTCAGATCTGCATTACAAAAGAGCTTCATAACAATAACACAACTATACTTTTTACAAGGCAACCGTATGATTTCGCAAAATGATATGCAATGCTAATTCTTCTTAGAACTGCCAGGAAATTGATTGATCAAACACCTAAAAAAAATCTGTAAAATGCTACAGATGCACTAGATAGTGATGCAAGGAAAAGTAAAGATTTTGAATACATTTGTTTATTAATTGTTCAGTCCATACGAACGAGTAATTTTAAATATACTGTTATTCGGTGATACTAGGAGTTTTTGTAGTATATCCACAAAAAGTGTATAGTATATTTTTGCTATATGTAGTTCCATATACCTGAGTAAAATATTGAGCAAAATATTGACCCACTGAATAAACAATGCTTTACGCTTACACTTCAAATGAACTACCATGCTGTATGCACTGTTATAAAAATACCTTGCCTTGCACTTACAATATGGCTATAAAGCACTGTTACTATCAAGAAGAACTCCACCACCTTGTGGTTGATTCTGTAATTTCAGATTCAGAAATTCATGCTACGTCTTACTATTAAAGCATTTATTTTTATTTATTTGATTTCTAATTCTTTAATGTGCAAAACTGAATAAACTGAAGGCTTTTTTTTTATAATACACACACACACATATATATGAAACTTACATGAACACCAGGTCGCCCAGAATCTCCCTTTTCACCTTTCATCCCCTGTTCAGTTGCATAAACATGTTTTAGTAAAACATACATATAAATATGTAGGTTCGGGGAAGTCGTGGCCTAATGGTTAGAGAGTCGGACTCGTAACCCAAAGGTTGCGGGTTCGAGTCTCGTACCGGCAGGGATTGTAGGTGGGGGGAGTGAATGTACAGCGCTCTCTCCCACCTTCAATACCACGACTGAGGTGCCCTTGAGCAAGCTTCCCGGGTGCCGCAGCAAAAAATGGCTGCCCACTGCTCCGGGTGTGTGTACACGGTGTGTGTGTCTTCACTGCTGTGTGTGTGCACTTCGGATGGGATAAATGCAGAGCACTAATTCCGAGTATGGGTCACCATACTTGGCCACATGTCACGTCACTTTCACTTTCTTTTCACTTTCAAACATCTTAAACATAAGCATGTTCAATAAAATCACTCATATTGCATGCAACATGGGCTACTTCTTGAGTACTTTTAGGTACCTGAAATCTTGGGAAATGAATTTCACAGCTAGTCTATTTTAGGTTGCATAAAAATCAATAACACTGACAGCCAATTGTTCACTGAATCCTAGTGCTAAAATAAATGTTAATCTTTCTTATCACAGATATCAGATAATTATATTATGATTATACAGCCCTATCAGATTGTTGAATTTTTCCCAAATTATGTGTTTCCCATTTTAATTCTTCTGGAATCTGTTTCTAATGTGTTAATTAAATTTTAATAACCAAACAGGATGACTAATCAACTGAATTCATAAAACAATTTAATTATTTATTACAATTTTAACCGTAATAGAGCCCTATAAAACACTAGTTCATATTGTTATTCAATTAATTCTACAGCCATATGTTTGATTTATTCTTCCAAATTTTGCCAAATTCCATGACGTTCCACATTTTCATGACTGGATAGCGTTTTCCACATGGAGGAAATCATAGGCCTCTACTACAGCGACACGAAGGCAAGGCTCCCAGAAGCAACATCTTAGACATAACATGTTATTCTAAGCATACAGTAATTAAATCTGACAAGTTTACATTTATGCATTTCAGCTGTGTTTTTATGGTACAAAGAAGAACTCACAAAATGGCCACATTTTCCATGGGAATACAAGCCAATGACATTTGAAAACATTTACTATGATCACATATAACAAAGAATGTATGATGGTTTTCTGGGCTTTTTATTCCATCTTAAGAGGAGACAGTGTTTCCCCCCAAATTCCTTATCCCTTTACATTTCTACCAAAATCTTAATCTTTAGCTCTAGCAATATTTCAGTAAACCACAACTCGCTGTAAACAACATATTTTAATTGGACAGTCCAGCAACTTATAAACATCAAGTTCATTATTACAGTAAATGGTTTACTTACATCTACTCCTCTTTCACCAGCTTCTCCTCTTTGACCCTGTAAAACATTTCACAGTATGGTTTGAAGAAAACAGTGAAGGAAAAAAAACCCTAAAGATTTATATATAATACAATAAATACAGTAGCAACAGAAATGTCATGAACTCTTTCTGCATAAATTTGACCTACTTTCTGATCAAATCTTTATCTAATTCCTAACTAGAAGAGAATCCAAAATACACAAATCTTTCTATTAAACCTGGACCTTAAAGACTGGTCCTCATCTCACAAGGTTTCCATCAAAGAGATTTCTGAGGACTACTCAATAAAGTTGCTGATGCACACCAGTAGGCCTGGGCGATAAAACGGTATCGATATTTATCGACGGTACACCTTCTTCGATAACGATATAAAAAATGTTCGATATGGCGCACGATATAGGCACGTGCTATAAGTGCTGCATAAGACAGCACACACATACACGAACATGAGTGCTGTGCCTGCCTGTGATGAGGAGATTGTGAATAAAAAATGAATATTAGTTAAATTTAAAAGAAACATTTGCATTTGAATGCAAAAATAGTACAATTGAATGAGTTTGATTTATATGAGTTAATTTAGACGTAATGCACGTTTTTTTTACAGACAGTTATTTCCGTTGTGAAATGGAAGTTAGCGTTGTTTAAGCCATTCACACAGAACGCATATTCAGCGCATTTTCTAGATGGACAAATATGACTGCTGCACTCACGTCACACAAGAGATGTAAAGAAAGCCATGCAAAGTTAAAACAGTTTAAACTTTTAGAAAACACGTCACGAATTTGTGGAGGTTTATTCCTTCTCTCATATGTTTTTAAATGCAATCTGCGTGATGGGTGATTCGGCTCTATGTATTAAGCAATGCATAAATACATGATGCTGTTTTGTTCATAATTGTTTATTCAATTTACGAAATTATATTTGATTTATATGAGTTAATTTAGACGTAATGCACGTTTTTATATTTGTTGTTTGTCTCAATAAATTAAGTTAATTTAAAAATACAGTGGCTAAATGTAAAAATTTTTTTCTATTGCTCTTTGTTTTAAAAAAGGTTATAAAAAATTTCAATAATTATCGATACCGAATGATATGAAACATTATATTGTTGATACATTTTTTAGCTATACCGCCCAGCCCTACACACCAGGCTGGAAAACTGTGTTTAACGAGTCTGGAATCCACTGACCAGATTGGAGAAAACTCAATACTACCAACAACAACAACAACAAAACGTCTCGGGTTACTTATGTAACCATGGTTCCCTGAACAGTCAATGAAGACGAAGAAGAGAATGATGTGTAGCTCCCGGCGCCTATTTATACTATAGTCGCACCGGTAGTGACGTCATGGCTGTCGCCGGCCAACGAGTTGGTGTTTTTTCAATGTATGCTTCAGACACGGGTCACGACGAGGCGTTCCCCCATAGCAACCCCTAGAGGACGCAGTTCGAAGTTCCCATGAAAGGGAATCACCTCTGACCTGGCGATCTATGTATCTGATCTTAATGTCTGTATTAGTGGTAATAAAATCTTGAATTAAAAACTGAAGTTGTTATTAGGACCACAAGCTCTCTCTCTCTCTATATATATATAAAGGCTACCATGAGAGTTTAGATTGAAGGTGCTTATTTCAAACCCTCTGAAACCACTCAAGCCTATATTTCAGTGTTCTTCCCCCACTTTTAAGCCCAAAAGACACTGAAACTCTGCTCCATGCATTCACCAAGCTCTTGCCTCTCCTAGCAATTCTTTACCTATTACCTATTCATCTGTAGGAAACCTACGCAGACATGGGGAGAACATGCAAACTCCACACAGAAACGCATCCTGGCTCAGCCAAGGACCTTCTTTCTGAAAGGCAACAGTACTACCCACAGAGCTACTGTGTTGACCCACTTTTTTTTTCTTTCTCAAAAATACTGAGACAAATTACTATGCTGACAATATAATTTGTAATAATAATAATAAAACATTGCATATGCTGCTAATACACAGCTTTCATTCTTTTTCTATCCTTTCACTATTATTCACTATCCCTTCATGTTCTAGCCTGCACTATTCTGAACGATGTGTGGACCTTTGTATTGCTAGAACATCTCTTGTTATTGCCTGCTTAAGATGATCACTTGTTGTACTCTTCATAAATTAGCCGCTATAGATAAAAGTGTCTGCAAAATGAATAAATGTGAAAGTATTGCATTTCCACTAGTGGTGTCAACCTGTACATATGATTTGTGTATAACTCTTAACTTGTCATAAATCACTGAATTAAATTGAAACTTGAAAACCTTCAAAGATGAAATGAGTTTCTATGAAGTCTATCACGTGTACAGTACCATGTGTTTATGCAGTTTCTGCTACTGTTTAACCATACTTCAGATTATTTTACAAAACTCTATACGGTCATTTTGAATGATAGATTCATAACAAAATTACCACTTCTAACACAGAGAGCAAACCAACAGTAATTAAGATTTATCTCTAAATTTAAAAACAGCTGTCAATAATTAATTTAGTTTCACTGAAAGCGGCCAAATGCTTGTAAACCACAAGCAACATTTTCATGAATGCTTTTTTTGTTTGCCATGGCAGAAACGATCATTACCTTGCTAAAGTTAATAGAGCTACACTTGGAAAATGTGCTCACCATAACGTGGGCTTTTACCACCAAAACTGACCAAAAATGCAATGTCAGAGTTTTCTTTCTCATTAAATCAGAAGAAATAAATGTAATTTGGATACAGTAACAAAATCATTTTCAGGAAGTTTAGTAAATGTATGAGACATCCAAACCCCAGATATAATATGTGACCCTGGACCACAAAACCAGTCGTAAGTCGCTCTGGTATACACTCTTAAAAATAGCGGTGCTTAAAAGGTTCTTCACAGCGATGCCATAGAAGAACCATTTTTGGTTCCACAAAGAACCATTCAGTCAAAGGTTCTTTAAAGAACCATCTCTTTCTTACCTTTTTATAATCTGAAGAACCTTCTTTCGCCACAAAGAACCTTTTGTGAAACAGAAAGGTTCTTCAGATGTTAAAGGTTCTTGATGGAACCATTTAGACAAAAAAAAGGTTATTCTATGGCATCGTGAAGCACCTTTATTTTTAAGAGTGTATTTGTAGCAATTCGCCAAAAATACATTGTATGGGTCAAAATTATCGATTTTTCTTTTATGCCAAAAAACATTAGGATATTAAGTAAAGATCATTTTCCATTTAAACATTTAGTAAATATATCAAAACTTAATTTCTGATTAGTAACATGTTGATAAGGACTTCATTTGGACAACTTTAAAGGTGATTTTCTCAATATTTAGATTTTTTCTTTGCACCCTCAGGTTCCAGATTTTCAAATAGTTGTATCTCAGGCAAATATTGTCCTATAACCTAACAAACCATATATCAATGGAAATGTATAAATCTCAATTTCAAAAAATTTACCTTTATGACTGGTTTTGTGGTCCAGGGTCACATATGATGAATCTTTTGGAGCTGTGATTAAAGGGGTCATATGATGTTGCTAAAAAGAACATTATTTTGCGCTGCACACATCTGAATATTTGGGTTGAACTGTTCTGGAACAGTGTTGTAAATACAACTTAACCACTGATTTCTAGTTGTGTCCTCTTTTGGAAGGCCAAACAAAGTAGTTTCGCTTTCACAACGAAACACACAGCGTCACACACGGCGGGAGTGAGGAACGGCCGGCGGCTAGAGTGAGCGGAGGCCGGCTTGAGTAAGCGGCGGCGGGCTTGCGGCAAACACATGTGACGACCCCGGGCTGGAATCCGCTTCGTCCATGGTGAAAGCCGATCCGGCGATCGTTTATGCACCAAGAGCTTGTAACACTCCAAAGAGAAAGGAAAAATTTAAATCGCCGTCATATGACCCCTTTAATAACTTACCTTCAGTCCAGGTGATCCTGGCATTCCTGGATGTCCAGGTTGGCCAGCTGCCCCAGGTTCTCCAGGCTTACCCTTGATCAAAAAAGAAGAAAAAAAAAAACACATACATTTGTAAAGATAATAACTCTTGCAGCCTATCATGCATGTTTCCTCTTCCTTCAACCATCTGATGATGTTTAATTTGCATAGGATTTTACCTCTAGCCCTGGAGGTCCTGGTTGACCGGCCTCTCCACTGTTCCCTTTAGTGCCCTAATAATGAAAATTTGAGTTTGAGTATTCAAGTTAGCAAGTAAGAATTTGTACATTCTCTGTTAAAACAGGAAGTCTGGATGGGACGTATCAAAGCCTTTTTCCATTTGCTAACTGCTAATGATAGGGAGAGAGACTTTCTCATTCTAGAGAGCATTTATTCGACTAAATACAAGGTGAGTACAAGCTTTTTTATTTCTGGCCTATGAAATATGAAATGTAGTTAAATGCAAAAAATGTATTTTGAAAACTCAATTATTGAGCTGAATAATGACAATATGAATACTGTCTTTTGACAGCTACTTTATAGCAGAATTTGAATGTGACTCTACTTACACATTTTCAAATCATAATCAAGGACCTCGTATTCTCATGCATTTGTGGGATTAGCAATTCCGACTGCAGATGACGATATAATATGTGAACCAGGTTAATTCTTTGATCACTGCACTGTCAATTTATGAGTCAAATCCATTTCACTGACAAGAGACGAGAGAGACATTCAAAGTGACTCTTCATATTGATGCATAAAACAGTATGACTGGCTCTGAGTCCATGGAAACTGAACAAATATTCAAACTGTAAACAGATTTCTCTTGATTTTTTGAGTATATTTAGAGGTTCCTCAAACAGATTTCACCAGTCTTAACTTCAAAGGTCTTGCTTACTTTATTTGTAAATGATCTTTTGAATTGTTCTGCTGGTTACTTAACCTTTTTTTTTTTTACTGAAACCGGAACTTAAAATAGATAAAAGCAGAACAGAATTTGTTCAATGATTTGGTCTTGACTAATGTGTTCCAGTTCTAGTTACATCAAGTTTGATGGCTTTAGTGGGGTTTGACCACTTCTCAGCTGGTCAAGCCATCTACAAACAGAAAAACTTCTTGGTCTGGTTTACGTGTTTTAATTATATTTTATCAGGGAAAAGTATTAAAAATATGTATACACTACCATTTAAAAGGTCAGTAAGATTTTTTAAACAAAAAAATATTACTTTTATGCAGCAAAGGTGCATTAATTTGATCCAAAGTGACATTTTTAATGTTACAAAAGACATTTCAAATAAAAGCTATTCTTTTCAACTTTCTGTTGAATAATCCTGAAAACAAAGTATGTCACGGTGTGGAAAGCGGGGCGTGGTTTAAAGGCCTCTGCAGACGGAGAAGGAGTGCTGGGGAGTTGATGGTTAAGGGAAACGCCTCTCGTTAATTGAATCTAACAGGTGTTCTCATTTTGCAGTGAGTCGAGAGACAGGATAAAAAGCAGGGCTTGGAGAGAGTGGGAGAGAGTGCCTGGGGAGCGTGCCATGCTGTCTCGTGCCCTGCCCGAAAAGAAACCACTGTTGGTTGCAACCGTTTCTTAGTTTGTTTGAGTGGAGGCTGAAAAGCCCTCGTACTTCTGTTTTGTTTTGATTTTGTTAAAGAGGTGTCAATAAAAAGGGTGCACTCGCGTGCACAAACTGATCTCAGACCCTGATTCCCTCATTTCTACACCGGGACGACAAGAGTTTGTCACACACGGTTTTCACAAAAAGCAGCAAATCAGCATATTAGAATGATTTCTAAAGGATCGTGTGACTGAAGGCTGGAGTAATGATGCTGAAAATCAACTTTCGTCATCACAGTAAGAAAAAAATAGTTATTTTAAATTGTAATAATATTTCACATTATTGTTTTACTGTGAAATAAATGCAGCCTTAATAAACAGAAGAAACTTCTTTAAAAAATATTGAAATTTTTAACTGACCCCAAACTGAGATAAAGGTTGACAGTTAAATCTCTCTTTGGAAGTCACTGAGAACATGAACTTTTCAGAATATTTAGTACACGACGTAACAGTGCACATATTTCTGCCTTCTGCTGTCATCGTTTTATGAAAAATGTCCATTTTGTCTCATAAAGTGGTCAATGAGTCATAAAGAATAGCGTTGTTGGCTAGCATTCTGAAGTCTGAAGGTAGCGGCACTAGAGATTTGAAATCTGGACATACTCTGTTGTCTCCTTCCTTGGACGCAATCTAAAAAACACGATTTGAAGCGGAACGAGTTTGAAGGCTTGTAACCATTTATAAGCTATGGCTTTTGTTCTGCACAATTACACATTACATGTAGCAATCCACATGCATGTCCACACAGATGATGAAAGGCGACTGAGAAAAACTGTGCAGACAGAACAAAGGGATTTCACCATCTGTCTTGCAATTGCTTTGAAAATCACTATAATAATGTAATAGAGACTCCAACTCAGTAATCAATACCTATAATGTTTTCCATATGAATTCAACATTACAAAGGAAATATTGCATTTAGAGGGCAAAAACATGAATTGCGACCTTAGGGCCAGGCTGTCCACTTGAACCAGGTATCCCAGGCAATCCAATCTCGCCCTGTAGAAAGACAGACACAGTCAAACTGATGTTCTGAACTTTAAAATGCAATCAAAGTTTACCAAATTTCGTGTGAGATTAATTCACGCATAAAAAAAATGTCTTTGTAATGTTTCATCAAAATGAAGTACATATTACTGCCTTAAGGGTATTTTTTTTTCTTTTTGAATAGTTTGTTTCACTTGGAAATACATAATGTACATTAGTACAATGGGATTTTGAATTCTGTTTCTGGTTGACTTTAAAGGAGACCTTTTTATAATATGTAATATAAGTCTCAGGTGTCCCCAGAATGTGTCTGTGAAGTTTCAGTTCAAAATACTCCACAGATAATTTAATAAATAATTTTGAAAATTCATTTTGAGTGGAAGCAGAAACAAGCTGTTTTCATGCATGTCTCTTTAAATGCAAATGAGCTGCTGCTCCCTGCCCCCTTTTCCAGAATAGGACTGTGCCTTTAGTTGCTTTCGCAACTCTGCTAAAAAACATCTGCTTGGTTTTGATTATCATGTCTATCATGCTGAAATCATGCGTTTTAAACCATATTAGTTTAAACTTTCTGAACTCACACATCCTAAGCACACGCACAGAAAGCGGCTGTCACGTGGCATGTGAGTACTAAACTAAGCTCTCTTTCATGTCTTATTGCGCTGTTGAACTGTCAAATAAACACACGTTTATGTTAAAAACACATGAGTCAGATTTACACAGTCAGTTATGTCTGTGAAGGTAAACAGCTAGGAAAGAAATTGCATGTTTATTTTAGATCTGTGTGGCAGCAGCGTAATATACAGTAAATAAATCAATAAATGCACTGCTCTCTTGTCTCCTCTGATGCTGGGACTCTAAATAGTGTTCTGTGCTCATCAGTGCAGCCATAGACAGAACAGTTAGCATGTTTTGCTCAGACTTTCGCCATGGCGTTAGAACTGGTACACCGTTGTCGCTTGTGAAAACACAATGGCGGCGCCGTGGGTAAAAACTTGCAGATAAATGGGTGGTAATATTATAATAAGATCCCCTTACCACTTCACGGGGAGAGCAAAATCGGATGTGTTTGTTTTCTCACAAGATTGCAGAGAAAGGCTTACAAAAAATAAATAAATACTGTGTTGTTCTTTTTCATGTTTTCTGGGTTGGTAGATGCACCGGGGACCCAATTATAGCACTTCAACACGGGAAAAAGTCAGATTTTAAAGATATGTCACCTTTAAATTGCATATACCATCTCCAATACATTAAATAAAACAAAGCTTTCGTCAGGTCAATCCAGAGCTTACATTGTTTTCACACAAAAGCTTGGTCTAAATGATTCCAAATCTCATCGACTCACAGCACTCACAAAACACAAAACGTTTCACATTGAGCCTCAAACTGGAGTATGTTTGTGTCATCAATGTGAGTCTCACTATGAGTAATAGCAGCAACTGTTTACCACTGTAGCTAAGTAACGACTCAGAAGAATACATTGCCCAAAGGTTTTTACTGCTATTTTGGTCCTTCTGTCTTATTGCTACCAAAACTTAAAGGGGTCATATGATGTTGCTAAAAAGAACATTGTTTTGTGTATTTGGTGTAATGAAATGTGTTTATGCGGATTAAGGTTAAAAAAACACATTATTTTCCACATACTGTACATTACTTCTTTCTTTGAGTGAACGTTTGGGCGGTGTTATGCAAATCTTCCCACACAGTGACGTAGACATGTGAGGGCGTGTTTGAACGAGGCGTTTTAGGAGGGCGTGGACCAGTACTTACTTTTATAAAGAATATCTCTTTGGGTTTGAGACTTTAGTCTTTGCAACTTTATGGATCTTATCTATTCACGAACAGCTTGTAACACTCCAAAGAGAAAGGAAAACTTGAAATCTCATCATATGACCCCTTTAACACACACACAGAGCAGCACCAACCAAAGGTACAGTATAGTTAAGGAACTAAAAATGTTTTACACATTTTATTGTTTGTTGATGGTTTCATTCACCATCTTGTCTGGTTTTCACTGAGCTTCTCTGTAAACATTATATGCAACTGAGCCTACATCACTAGGGATTGAACCTATAATCTTCACAATGCCTAAAACACTAAATATTACATTAGGTGCAGGCACACTAGCTTTGAGCATGCAAAGGCACTCTATAATGGATATCAGCAACTGGATATGATGAAAATACTCTAACAAATCACAAATTACAGGTAAATTCAAAATGTCAAATACAGTCCTTTCTCCTGTAACACTGTAAACCATGCAACTTTGAAGTCTGTATTAGGTGTAATGAGTCAAGAGGTCAATGTGACATTTACATTTTCTATTGCTAAAACATGTTTTCACCATATCATAGTACTGAGACTGCTCTCATTAGAGTTACAAATGACCTGCTCTTATCATCTGATCGTGGTTGTATCTCTCTATTAGCGGTATTGGATCTTAGTGCTGCGTTCGACACTATTGACGACAACATTCTTTTGAATAGACTAGAAAACTTTGTTGGCATTAATGGAAGTGCATTAGCATGGTTCAAATCGTACTTGTATGACCGCCATCAATTCGTAGCAGTGAATGAAGAGGTATCATATCGATCACAAGTGCAGTATGGAGTACCTCAAGGCTCAGTACTAGGGCCATTACTCTTCACGCTTTACATGTTACCCTATTATCAGGAAACACGGTGTTAGCTTCCACTGTTATGCTGATGATACTCAGCTCTAGATTTCTTTGCGGCCCGGCGAAACATACCAATTTGAAAAACTAGCGGAATGCATAGTCGATATAAAAAAAAACTGGATGACGAGTAATTTCTTACTGCTAAATTCTGAAAAAACAGAGGTGTTAATTATAGGACCTAAAAACTCTGCATATAATAACCTAGAACACTCCCTAAGACTTGATGGCTGCTCTGTCAATTCTTCGTCATCAGTTAGGAACCTAGGTGTGCTATTTGATAGCAATCTTTCGTTAGAAAGCCACGTTTCTAGCATTTGTAAAACTGCATTTTTCCATCTCAAAAATATATCTAAATTACGACCTATTCTCTCAATGTCAAATGCAGAAATGTTAATCCATGCGTTTATAACCTCAAGGTTAGATTATTGTAATGCTTTATTGGGTGGTTGTTCTGCACGCTTAATAAACAAACTCCAGCTGGTCCAAAATGCAGCAGCTAGAGTTCTTACTAGAACCAGGAAGTATGACCATATTAGCCCGGTTCTGTCAACACTGCACTGGCTACCTATTAAACATCGTATAGATTTTAAAATCTTGCTAATTACTTATAAAGCCCTGAATGGTTTAGCACCTCAGTATTTGAACGAGCTCTTGTTACATTATAGTCCTCCACGTCCGCTGCGTTCTCAAAACTCTGGCCATTTGATAATACCTAGAATATCAAAATCAACTGCGGGCGGCAGATCCTTTTCCTATTTAGCGCCCAAACTCTGGAATAACCTACCTAACATTGTTCGGGAGGCAGACACACTCTGTCAGTTTAAATCTAGATTAAAGACCCATCTCTTCAACCTGGCTTACACATAACACACTAATACGCTTCTAATATTCAAATCCGTTAAAGGATTTTTAGGCTGCATTAATTAGGTCAACCGGAACCGGGAACACTTCCCATAACACCCGATGTACTTGCTACATCGTTAGAAGAATGGCATCTACGCTAATATTAGTCTGTTTCTCTCTTATTCCGAGGTCACCGCTGCCACCAGATCCAGTCTGTATCCAGATCAGATGGTCACTGCAGTCACCCGGATCCAGTACATATTCAGACCAGATGGTGGATCAGCACCTAGAAAGGACCTCTACAGCCCTGAAAGACAGCGGAGACCAGGACAACTAGATGAGCCCCAGATACAGATCCCCAGTAAAGACCTTGTCTCAGACGACCACCGGGACAAGACCACAGGAACCAGATGATTCCTCTGCACAATGTGACTTTGCTAGCCTGAAATTGAACTGCTGGTTTTGTCTGGTCAGAGGAGAACTGGCCCCCCGACTGAGCCTGGTTTCTCCCAAGGTTTTTTCTCCATTCTGTCACCGATGGAGTTTTGGTTCCTTGCCGCTGTCGCCTCTGGCTTGCTTAGTTGGGGACACTTCATTTCCAGCGATATCGTCGCCTTGATTGCACAGATACTATTTAAACTGAACTGAGCTGGATGATGACATCACTGAATTCAATGATGAACTGCCTTTAACTGAAAATTGAGTGTTTACTATTATCATTTTGCATTTTTGACACAATATTTTCCTAATTAATGCTGTACAGTTGCTTTGACACAATCTGTATTGTTAAAAGCGCTATATAAATAAAGGTGACTTGACTTGACTTGACCATACTGTATGAATTCACAGGTCAGAGCTCAGTGAAAAACAAAACTTCTTCACATGTGCTTGTGTTTCCTCTCTCCTATGTTTGCATGCCTGCGAATGGAAGTGATTTGTGCAACAATGGAATTCAGTGCCACCACAGTCTTAGCTTTCTTGCTTCTTGTCCACTTTTAATAGTCTACAGCATTTGTACAACAGATCATGCAATTTATTTTTTCGAGCAATTGGGGGTTCGCTGCCTTGCTCAAGGGAACCTCAGTCATGGGTACTGAGGGTGGAAGACAGCACTGTTCATACACTCCCCCACCTACATTTCTTGTTGGTACTGAGTATTGAACCCACGACCTATGGGTCACAAGTCAGACTCTCTAACTATTAGGCCACAACTGCCCCAAAATCACTGAACATATCAGATGCATCATGAAAATTCATTCACTTTTGTATCATGACTTTTCAAGTGCTTACTATATATTTTTAGATTTACTTACAGGGTCTCCAGGTGTACCTTTGGCTCCTTTTGGTCCTGGCAAGCCAGCTTCACCCTTTAAAAAAAACAACAAACGTAAATTTTCAATATATTAAGGGTAGCTAAATTTATGAGAGTGAAACTTATAAACTATAGAATGAATGCAGCTCAATAAGTTTTGTAAAAGAGCATGATGCATAACCTCTAAACAACAGCAAATAAGAAACTAATTGTCCACATGAAAAGAAAAAAACCCCACCTTCATTCCCCTCTGACCATCATTTCCAGGTATACCAGGTATGCCCTGAAAAAAAGAAAGAATTTAAAAAAAAAACATTTTTATTTGTTTAACATTGAGCACATTCAAGCAATCAGAAAAAGCTGAAAAAAAGAAAGAATTTAAAAAAAAAACATTTTTATTTGTTTAACATTGAGCACATTCAAGCAATCAGGGAAAAAAAAAAAAAGATTATAACATTCATTAATGATTTTAGTTTTTCCACAAATTACACAAATGAGTGCATTTGAGAACACTGTTAGGATCTGAGGTACACAGTGAGCACAGTGCTTTGTAAGGACACCAGTGGGTTTTCTTGGCTTCTGATGAAGCTAACATGCATGGGAAGTCTGGATTAATCACATATGAAATGCGTCCCTCCTGGCATCTTGAAGCTTTGTCAGCCAGAGAGAATAATAGTTTTAACAGGATGTTGTTAAATTCGGATACTACTGTAATATAGGGACCAGCTCCACCGGAGATAACAACAGGTCAGAAAACCTACACAATTTGTAGGAGGAAAAGGTTTTAAATCTCAAGGTACTGTAACACTACCTTTCCTGTTAAAATAATTAAAGGACTAGTATTTAATATCAGCATTATTGTTTAAAAAAATAGCTGACCTAGCTATATAGTGAAAATCAAGTTTTTTGTTTTTACATGGTTTACATATTCTGTCTGGTGTTTTTAATATGCTTAAAGACAAACTATGTGCAAATTCATCAGTCACCACCATTGCTGAGCATTTTCTCCACGGCATTTTCCACTTTCTCCTTCTCCTGGTGTACCAAACAGTCTAAAAAATGCAGTTTAAAACCATCCGTTTCCTACCGTCACAAACATTGGTGGGGCTTTTCATATCTGGTCAAAGGTTTCTATTTGCAATGTGTCTTTGCAGAGCTGAGTAATGCAGCTAATCAAATACATATTTTGTGGATTTCATGAACACAATGGGCAATCAGAGGTGTTTAAGTTAGAATCCACTCACTGCTCAAACAGCAGAGTTTTTTAATAGTATAATCGGTTCTGAGCTCTACACACTTGTGAATCCTCTCATTATAAGAAAAAAAATGCATATGTGATGTGAATAAGAGATTCCTCGTGCAGTGTAGAGCTTGACTGATTATAATGGAACTCTGTGAGATTGCGATGAATTAAGACGAGTGACAGCTTTTCAGTGATTAAAAGGGTAGCGCTCTTTGTGTGCTTTCTAAACTATAATCCATTCAGAATTGTAATACATTCATTCACAGATTCATTGTCGAAACTGCAAGGAATAACATAGCAGCAACCATTAATCCAAGATTGTGTGCCATTGTGTAGAGTTTACTCCTCAGTTAACTGAGTGAAAGTGGAGCAGGTCTGAGCTGGGGTGATTGAGTGGAGGCGGGGACTAATTCGCATATTAATGGTTTCTTGTATACTAACTGAGTTGAGTTACATTTAAACCATTTTAAGACATTTCATGACCAAAAACTTTTAAATGTCATTTTGAATGTCAAAGATGAGATTAAAGTGGTAAAATTTATGAACACAGGGGGAATAAATTAATAATTTAATGTGCAAAATATTGTAGCATTTGTTGAATAACTGGGTGATAATCTTTGGGTTGGTAATTGCTAAGGTAACCATTAGGTTATGCTAACCATTAACTCAATTTTTGAATAGTTTTTATTGTGCAGATTGTGTGCAGTACACAAACCGTATTGTTAAAAGCGCTATATAAATAAAGGTGACTTGACTTGACAATCTGTCTCGTTTTATTAGGGGTCCTTGTTAAGGCAAGCACTACTAGGGTTACGGATTTCAAGCAGTGTTTCCCAACCCCATTTCTGAACACACACCATCAGTACACATTTTTGAACTCTTCCAAATAAAACACACTTGATTCAACTCATTAGCCTTATAGTAAAGACTCCAAGACGAGTAAGTGATCTTAAAGATTCCTAAATGCATCTACTTCCGGAAGGCCAAATAAAGTGCTTTTGCTTTCGCCTAGAAACACACAGCGTCTCCCTGACATGGCTGCTTCAACACTAACTGCGGTTACTGAAACCACGCCTTCTTTCTTTGCATGCACATTTGGGCGGCATTATGCAAATATTTCCACATAGTGATGTAGATATGTGGGGGTGTGTTAGAACGAGCCGTTTTAGGGGGGCGTGGCAGAGTCTTAACTTTGATAAAGAATATCTCTTTGGTTTTGAGACTTTAGTCTTTGCAACTTCAGGGATCTTATCTATGCACAGTCAGCTTGTAACACTCCAAAGAGAAAGGAAAACTTGAAATCGCATCATATGACCCCTTTAAATGTCATTATTAATGGTTAATGGCTTTATATTAATGGTTTATCACCTTTAAACAATAGGTGGTGCTGTCACCAAATTGATGTGGTGTGGTCAGTGTGAGGTGACAATGACACACATAAAGTTTGGTGTCAGTATGTTAAAGCTTTGCAGAGAGACAGCTTCAGAAGCGGTTTGGCATCATGACATCATGAATTTGTTGAGACGGTAAATGAAAATGGTTTCATCTATAAACTTGAATTCCATGTGTGTTTGTTTGTTTTTTGTTTTTGCCAGCATGGTCTGAAGATGATCTGAGCCAAATTTGGTGAAAATCGTACCAACTATGTAGTTTGAAAAAGTAGGTGTTCAACATAAATCAAAATGACAGATGGGAAGTTCAGCCAGTTATGACATAATTAGTATTGATGTTCTCGGCATGATCCAAGGAATCTATCAAGATAAGTCTCATGACAATAGGCAAAATTAATCAAAAGTTATTAGCGTGTTTTGACATTTTGTTACAATTTTTGACCACAAGGAAGCGCTGCCACTAAACTTTTTGAGTATCTTCAAGGCATGGTCCCAAAGACCCATACCAAGTTTTGGAATGATACACCAATGCATTCGTTATATATAGTATTTCTTTGTCAAAATTCTAATTATTGGATGCCCAAAATGGCTGACATGGTAACACTGGGTACCATTCAAGTTGGCATGCTGCTCCGAATGTAAAGAGACCAGTCTTGTGATTTTTGGCCAAAACATTCAGAAGGTTTTAGCACAAATAGAAATTTTTCATATCACCTGACCACTATTTGTTTGAAGGTTTGACTGATCAACTTGATTTCCTTGTTTTTCCCCCCCGGCCACCCTCTTTTGAGCCAGTGCCCCCGACTGGCCCCTCCATTTAAAATGTTCTAGACACGCCCCTGGTTGCCAGGAGCTGAGTTGAAAGTGGGGGGACTTTTTTTTTCTTTGCCTAGAAAGCAACCACCCAGGGCACCTTATACACCACATAGCAATGCTCAGGCAACCACCCAGTACATCCTAGCATCATATGAGCAAGTTATGCTGACAGATTTATGCTATAACACTATACTAGAAATGTTATAGTGCAAGTGGCACAGCCAATAAAATAGTGTTTAAACAAACTATCGTTCTGTGATCACGGACAAGCCCCCAATTGACACAGGTGAGTGACCTCAGGACATTCCCGAGATACAACTATGTTCCCATATCATTTTGCAACACACAAAATTGGCCTATTTCCCGTGGAAAGCGTGTTTACATTATGTTTTACTGGCTAGGTCTCCATAAAAAAAAAGAACAAAAACAGTATATTAAATTGTATCTCAAAATCTGAAATACAGTCCATTGCACAGATTGATGGCTGTGTTTGCTGCTTTTAGAAACCGTAACATTTTAGATCTTTGGAAAGTTAAGGTTAACTGCAGAACATGCCAAGACGTGCCAAGATTGTCATTGTCATTTTATCATTTTAAAGCATCTCTGTGGTCATGCACATTTCCTCTTTCAATGCTTCCTCTTGATGATGTATGTGTGCTCCCATGTAATCTGCAAAAAACATTTGCTTCACTTCAGAGTTTTCCAGGAGTTTAATCTCTGCTTTCTATTTTTGTATCAGTGCAAAACACAGCAACCAACAATGAGCCTTTTAAAAAATACTCAGGACAGTAGACAAGCAAACTTTGTCAGCAATGTATTATTATGTATTTACTATATGTATTTACTATGCTACTTGTTGCAGGAAGTGTGTTTTACTGCGATGAAGCACAAATAAATTATAAAATATAATTCTCATATATCATAATGACCATATGCAATGATATGACATGACGTGACATGCAAATGGCTAGTTAATATGAAATACCTTTAAATGTGACATAAATAATAATAATAAAATCAATAAATAAAGTATGTTTTGCTAATCAGTTCATAAAGGTGTTACGTGTCAACTATACCCAAATATTTAAAACGGTTACTGTTCTAATGACCAACTGGATGATTTGATAAATATCAGTTTCCCCCAACACTTTTAAAACCAGTGTTTGTTCTGATTATGCACATCTCTCTCTTTATATCAGTGCTGTAGATCTCTAAGAAACAGCTGCCTTGATTTCATCTGCCAGGGTTCGGCAGTTCCCTCTGAACATAGTCTTACTGAAGCGAAAGAAGTAAACAAATGGTCTCCTGAAGACGAAGAAGATGACATGCTCTTCCAGTGCCCTTTTATACTATGATCGCACCAGTGGTGATGTCATAGGCAGTCGCCCGCCAATGTTATTGTCATGTTTAGATGTGCTTCAGACACATTGATGTCATTCCCCATAGTGACCACTAGAGGACGCAGTGTGAGTTCCCTTGAAAGGGAACTGAGAAACAGCGGTCTTGATTTCATCTGCCAGGATTCGGCAGTGGACTCTGAACATAGTCTTACTGAAGCAAAAGAAGAATCAATGCATAAATGTTTTAGACAACTATTGCCAAGTACAATGTTTAGATGTCAGTACCGCAAATGTTGATGCTGTAAATTGTTATTAGCAGGCACTTCTTGAGCAAGTCCTCGAACATTACCCACATAGGAAAAATATAACATACAGTACAGTGGCTCAAAAACATATTTGGACATTAAGACACTGTTAAATATATATATGAACGCCATTGCATTAAAAAAAGTGCCATATATTTGTTAACCTAGGAAAACAACATTTTCTAAAT